GTCCCAGTGGTTGGATGGTCTGCGATCTTGACATATAATCGGATGGTCCTGGATTCGAACTCTGGTACGGGGGGGTGCTTACTGTCCACAAGTCTCAAACTATGACGAAACAGCTTTCGGTACTCCTTAATTTTCAATATTTTATTTATATAATTCATCCAATTTTTCATGTGTTCACTTTTGGGTTACTTCGTAAATATTGTCTTTGGTGAGTAGTATCCATGTTGGTGTTATTGTTTACATCCAGTTTTCATTGTCCCTCTAAATTCCTGAAAACTTCAGCTTAGGATATTCATCTTGATCGATAATGAAAACTTGACTATAAAAAAGTCATTCACTTCAGGGAATGTAATACCATGAAAGTTAATCCATCTGATCTACGAGTATTCTTAGCTGTTTATAAACGATTTTTATTACAGCCTCAATCGACCAGGCTGTGAAATTACATCGACTGAGATGGTTAGGACATGTGTTACGAATGAATGCCTAGTCATCGCCTTCCTCGACAATGGGCAATGTAAGCTGATATAGGGTCAGGCTGGAAAAGAGCTAGCCAGTGGCGGTCAAACCAAAACACGGTTTCACCAGTCAATGAAATCTACAACAGTTAGTCTAAGCCAGCCAGCCACGTAGGAAGGTGTAGACTGGCTTCCTGACTGGTTGGGGTCCTCATGATGGACGGTAAAAACCAATGGTTGGAAACAATTGGTGACATGGCTCAAAATCGTTGTCAATGGTTGGCACAGATGCATCCACTCCTTGTGACTTATGATTCCCCATGAAACTGTTTTGTTCTTCGTTATTACTATACCTTTGTCTCACACCTCCGATTACTGTCTCTAATATGCATTTCTCCTACTTTCTTCTCTTGCTTTATGTGCTAGAAGGAGGGAGTGTGGTGACTTGAACTGGCGCACATATGTACAAAGTTCTATGTCGAAAACAGACAGACATTACCTCATCTATAATAATAAGCATTTCATGCACTAAAGTTTTCTTGTTTCTTGGAGAATAGTGAAACACGCGTCTTAGATTTGAGTTAATAATGATGTTAATATTGAGACTGATATACTGAAATGTGGCTAACTAATCTCAGTCAGATATAACAATCATAAATCACGCTGAGGTTCACAGTTTCACCGTGGTGGAGCCTGCAGCTTGAAGTTTCAGTAGCAGTGTGGTGAGAGCTGTCTACTAGCCAAAGTTGGTAGACAGTAATTGACGTCAATGTTTATGTCCCCAATATTGATGGTGAGAAAATGAGAACAAAGGCTTTGCGTACGGTGGATACAGTTAGTATATGGATGATCTGACACAGCCACAAAGAGGTGTAAGGTTAACTTTCTGTGAGAAACAACCAATCAAAAGACTGTATTTTCTACTAACAGTAATCTACAATAATGTACATTAAAATCTATAAATATGTGTTGATTTTCTTTAATAAACGATCTGTTGCCTGACCCTTGTCTTCTGTTGTTACAGCAGTGGTGTTTCTTTTCAAAGGGTGGGATTCCTAGCCTCACAGTCAACCTTCCGCCTTTACTGACCTTACTACCAGCTTATTATAGCGAGGTTTAGGAATGCGTTGGCTGGGAATGGAACACCAAACCACGTGGTGGGTGGTTAGACCGTGTCCTTTCACTGATAATTTACCTAATTAATTCATAATCCCCTTAGTTTATAGTTAAGCGCTGTTACAAAGTAGTTCCTTACGAAATTTGCCTTTATAATAATATTCTTTGAATAACTTTTTTTTGATTTCATTCTGTTATTTGTGCTCATCTTCAATCAATACTTATTATTATTATTATTATCTATTGTACAATGTTTAGATTTCGTGTTAATGATTTTGTCGATGAAGAAGCTGAACTATCAGGCGATGAAAATGAACGTGCCTATTATATGGATGATGAAGATGAATTGAATGTAAATGATGATGATGAAGAGCTTGCTGATTTAATTGATGAAAATGATGCAGATATTCCATCATCTGGTCGTTTAAGACGTCAACTTGAACGTGTACATCATCGACTACAGACTGATCAAGATTTACGTGAGATACGTATTCTCAAGGTAATCAGTGTGTTTTTTTACTCTTATCAATCCAGTCAGTTAAACTATACAAAAATAGTTCTTATATTTTGATGCATATATATATATATATATATATATATATATAGTCTGGAGATTATTGAGGTGTAATTTCAACACAAATAATAATAATAATTTGCTTCATTCCAAAACAGTACTTGTGATACAGAATCGAATTCTCAGCATTTTTTACTACAGTATTGCATCCAGTTAGTACATTATCAATAAATAGAATTCTACATAGATTAAGGAAACCTCAGTTCATTATGACAACAGCATATCGGCATGTCGGTAGCAAAGCCAAAGTTGAACAGTGTTTGAAGGTGTTAGAAAAGTAGGTGCTGTCATATTTACTGGCGTAAGCGGAAGAAAAAAAACAAAGCAGCACATTACGGAAAAAAGAGAGAGAGAAGGAAAAGAAAGAAAGAAAAAGTTGTACCTATAAATGATATGAGTTGGAAAGAAGAGATCCAGTTGTTCTACTGACTATTTAGTGAATTATGGGTGTCATGCCTAATGCTTTATTTATCGCACAGAACACGAGCTAAGTAGGGTATGGATGAGTTTTTGTACTTGCTGGTGCGAGCAAATAGTTAACTATATCTAGGCTTCTGGTTTTACCTCATGAGATGGAAGGGGAGAGTTGTGAGTGAAGAGGGTGGTATGAGTTAGATAGAATGGATTTGGCCCATTTTTCACATGAGTCCATGTGCCTGTCAACCAGAATATTAACAAGCTGGTTAAGTGGCACATTGCTTACCCCTGCTGACAACGTTTAACATCCTGTGTAATGAGGTATAGTCTTTCTTCAGTAGCCCGGGAAAAACTAAGGGGTGGGGAACAATAGAGAATAATAGGCAGAATGCGAGAGTTAACGAATTGTAGGAGTAAGGGTTGGGTTATATCAGACATTCGTCTTAACTTCTTGATGTAGAAGGATTCCAGGATCCTTCCAGGAGATACCTCTGATGACCTCTTCTCTAAACGACAGTCCGATGTTTAGATCACTTCAATATGACTGGATAGCAAGCACTAATGGTTGATACGAGTGGTATCTAGTTACTTATATCGATCAGTCAGTAGTATGTTTCTGTCATTGTATTTATTTTATTGACCATGTAAAAAAATCAAACACTTGAGTTACACCTAAGAGATAGAGCATATGATTTGTTTATATAACAATATTATATTACCGGATAACAAATTACAGACTGATTGCTTCCTGCCGATTGCCTCCAACCATCTCTAATAATAACAATTCATAGTGCAGCGTGATGTCGAGCCACCTAGCATGCTGACTGATAGAATTCAGTCTGCACCAAACAAAGGACTAGACACTCATGTGGTACTAGTTAACAGTCGGTGTCCAATCAAAGAAGTATCTAATACACTCCTACAGAGAACGTCAATCGCGAACCAGCCCGAATATCTCAGTGGTAACGTCTCCAACTGTAATACTGGGTGACACAAATTTGAATCTCAGAAGGGAAATGACTTCATTCAAGATTGCAGATGCGCCCTGCTGACTAGTGAGAGTGCCAACGAAAGCACGAAACCTAGGTCAGATAGGGTTTCCTGCGGCCGAATGCCTCCAATCATCTAATAACTTAGTACGCGTTAGTGGTTCAGTAGTAGATCACTGGCAATTGAAAAGTAACACATTTTCGTCAATACTTGAAAGTTTTTTTGTTTAAATTCATATTCCAACCCAGTAAATACGTTCATATTCAAGTATTAGTTTGTGAGGATTTGATTGATTGCTTACAGAATTTCATTATGAGCTGAGGCCCATTGAAAACCTGGGAGGACTAAACAGCTGTTTCGTTCAAGTGGGAAGTCGTGACCAGTAGTAGGGTACAGCAGGTCGGGTGTGAGGACAAATACTTGCCAGAAACCATTGGCTAGTGGTCGCGCTATGTCATGAATTGACAGAAGTTGGAATTCATGGGCCCCAGTGGCTTAAGAGTCTGCGAGCTCGCCTTGTAACCAGAAGGCCCTGGTGGTGGGTGCGTACTGTACATCAGTCAACTGATTTATTGAATTTTTTTTCACATTTTGAACATTATCAAATAGACCTTCGTTCAAGATCTAAGATTTATACCACCTGTCATCCACTGACCAATCTGTTCGTTCGTGTTAGTGATGTGTGCAAAATATAGCGAATGAATCTAGAAGTGCATATTTATTGGCTAAATCCGATATACGTTTATGTTTAGATACTAGAACTGTTTTTCAATCTCTAGTAAAGTTATGAAAAGTTGAAATGTTACTCTGATGGATTAAAACCTCAGTAACAATTAAATAAGAATATTTGGTTGAGGATGCCTATCAGTGGAATCCAGGACACTCGTTTCGTCTCATTTACTACTCATCATCCGAATGTACCTGTATACAGTGAGTAATTATATTCTCATTAATACTCACACCCAACAACCGTCTTTTCAAGATAATTTCGATGTGTTCAATACTCAACATTACCTATCTGTTGTTTTGAAGTCATCATCTGAGTGTCTTTGAATTCCCTTTTTATTGATTTTCTTCATTCTGATTCTGACTGAGTCAGTCATTTGAATTATGTCACTTATTTCTTGTTAACTGTTTCTTTACTTATTTACTTATCTCTGTAATATTTTTTAATAATAATCCATAATCATGTTATTGTGAATATATTTCAGGAACTGTACTTAGAAGATGGAGATTTACACACCGAAGATGGCCGCGTTCGTCAACGACGTTTTCGATGGCGTGGATTAGGTAATTTGTTGTAATTAATTCGATATCTTGATCGTTTATTGAGAAAATCATCAGATATTTATTGGTTTTTTATGTACATTATTATTCGTTATTGTTAGCAGAGAGGTAACGTCTTCTGATTGGTTATTTTCCTGCTGAAAGTTATTCTGTCATCTCCTCTTTGTTGCCGTTTCTTAGACAGTCCGTTGATATCTCTGCTAATCGTATCCGCCCACGCTAAGTCTGCTGTTACTGGTTGTTGAGTTAGTCTTTATTCTTGTTTTTTTTTCTCATGACCCCGATTTGGGACGTAAACATTGACGTAAATTACTGTCGTCTACCAATTTTGGCTAGCAGACAGCTCTCACCAAAGTAGTACTTGCTAGCCAGATCAAAGTGACCTCCTGAACACTGAAGGACCGTCTCGCTCGTTTATAGCCGAGCTCATCAGCAGTGTGTACCCGATTTGACTCACCTCAGCCTAATCAGTTCAGTTGTGTATTAAAGATGCCTATTTTAAAAACTTCAAGACGCTGATTTGTGACACAAAGTGCCTTCTTCTTAATAACTTCTTTTACAGGTCCTGCCTGCAGTAATATATCCATAATAGTTACGATGTATGACGTCACACAGTATTTATCAATCTATAGATTCTATAGCAGGCCAGAGTGTGAACAATGGCTGCTGGACTTGTTCCCGGTGTTTTCAGCCAATTGCTATGGTCATTGTTGTTTGCAGTACTCAGTACACCTAGTGGCTTTGGCTTTTGGCAGTTGTCTTTTTTTCGCTACATGATAGATAGATGATTAAACAAGACTCCTCAACTGTTTCTCTACTGTCTGTCCGAATTAGTTGTGCTAGTGGTGTGGTGAGAGCTGGCTGCTAGCCAAAGTTGGTAGACAGTAATTGACGTCAATGTTTATGTCCCCAATATTGGTGGTAAGAAAATGAGAACAAAGGCTTTGCGTAGGCGGATACAGTTAGCATATGGATGATGTGACACAGACACAAAGAGATGCAAGGTTAACTTTGTGTAAGAAACAACCAATCAACAGACTGTATTTTCTACTAACAATAATCTACAATAATGTACATTAAAATCTATAAATATGTGTTGATTTTCCTTAATAAACGATCTGTTGCCTGGCCCTTGTCTTCTGTTGTTACAGTGGTATCTAAGTTTTGTAAACATAAGCCATTTCTTAATGGTTTGAAGAAAATTTTCCCATATGGTAAACGATATTCAATATTTCCAATAAATGAAAATCAAGACAAGAATGTGTTTTTTTATTTCCTGTGTGTGTTATGGTGGCTATACAGCCGGATACTCGTCTATGATGAATATACCTATGCAGCTAAGACATCTGATTCTAACCTCTGCGACAATCACAACACCTTCGAAGAGTGGAACAAAATACTGATCATTAGTATAAAGGTTAAATTAACGAATCAGCTATTTACCCGAAATCAGAAATCTCAGAAATCACAAACACCAACTTGCAGCAGTGCAATACTGCTGTTCGTATATGTGTAAGGTAGGGTCAGCTTTTACTTTGTACAACCAGACAGTGTACTTAAATATAACATGTGTTACCATCGAACCAAAGTGATATTTTTACGGATTATTCCGCCGCAGAGATACAGAAACACTTCCACGTCGGTAGTTTCATACATGTGTGTTTGTTTAACAATCAAAGTGACATTGTAACAGCGGTAAAAGTGGCTCATTGGTATGCTGCAGTGCTCTATCCCTTGACAAACATCTATCTATCAAAAAGAGCACATCCTACAAAGTAGAGTATCTCTCAAAAACCGGTGATTCTCACCAAATTTTTTTTCATTCAAACTTGAGCTTTTAAGTTTCAGTAGCGGCTGGTGTTACCTTTCTATGGGGTAAGACAGCTAGCTTCGAGTCCGACCTTCTTTTCTGGGCTTACTACCGGCTAATCGATGTTTCGGAAGAGGAGAGTGAGTTGGCCAGAAATCGAAATCCGGACCACTCGTGGTGTGTGGTTGGCAATATCATTCCACCACTGACTGACGCGATTCCCGCCACATATAATTCACACACATAAACATAACCTCCTGTTAATCCCATGATAAGAATAGTTTTGTAATAATAATAACAATAATAATAATTTGCTTTATTCCAGAAACAGTACTAGTGGTACAGTGTGGAATTTTCAGCACATATCTACAATATTTGCATCTAATTTTACCAAACATTTAAAAGCAGTACTTCCAAAAATAAATATAAAGGCAACAACAAAAATAATTTTAAAAAATGCTAAAAAAATACCAAGAAGTAGAAAGGAAAGTAGGCAACATAAAATAATATCTCAATGTTGGGTAGTGGAAGCTATGATATGATTATGCATGGTGACAGTAAAGCTATAGTCATACAAGAAGTTATGAAATGATATTTAATTATGTTTATCGCCAAGATGATCAGTTAATTTAGGTTGAAACAACACTAAACAATCATAAAATAACATTTCAGGGTTGTTGTTTTGTTTTTTATTGTCAGGTCTAATGCAGTATTTGTAGTGGTAGTGTGAGTAATCCTGCGTAATACAAAATTTTAAGATGGTGATAATGGCTTTCACAACCAATGATTGTCAGTTAATGTTACCGAACAAAAAAAAAACAACAACCACAAAAACTAATAATTACATGATGGTTAATGACAGGACAATTTTGTAATACTCATAGAGCTAATATAGCCCTGTGGTGAGAGCTGTCTACTAGCCAAATTGGTAGACAGTAATTTACGTCAATATTTACGTTCCCAAGATTTGTCGTGAGAATACCGACCACAGCAGACTTTGCGTAGGCGGATGCAGTTAACATCTAGAGGATTTGACATTCAAGAAACAGTTACAAGTAGATGAAAGATTAACTTTACGTGAGAAACAACCAATCGGAAGACTGTGTTTGTTTGCTTAAATATCCATAGTAATGTACATGAAAATATATAAATATGCGTTGATTTTATATTGATTTCTGGTTCTACTTGATGAGATACAAGGCGAAAGTTGGGAATAGATGCCTTTCAACTAATGTAGTGACGAGCTGACTGAGTTTTACATCACTAGTCCTACTAACTACCTTCAACATCCTTCTCAGGATGGTGTAGTCCTTTTTCGGTAGCCCAGGAAAGACTAACGGGGAGCATTAAAGTAGAATAGGTAAGATACAAGAGTTGACAAATTGTTAAAGTAGAGGTTGGGTGATTCCAGATTGTCTAAGTTTCTTATTGTAGTAGGTTAGACAGAACACTTTCTTAGAAATCGTTAGGATATCAGATGTCCAAGTAAGGTCGGAAGATAGAACTAGACCGAGGTATTTTGCAGTAGACTTAGTTTCACTCTTAGGCCCCTCAAAATGCAACAGACTTCATGGGTACTTACTAGTGTTTGTAGATCTCTTTTATGCCTAAAGAAGAAGTCAATAGTCTGACATTTTGAGGGATTCAGCATGAGACCATTTAGTTTAGAGCACTGACTGATGTCCGACAGGAAGCTATTTACTATTTACTCTTTAGCTCTACCTGCATTTGCTTCCAATGTGTGTTATATATACTTTGCACAATTTCTAACTGTCATCTGACTACTCATTCTAATTACAATACTATAGATAATGATGATCCATTTGCTGATCAATTGAATATGGACGATGATGATGATGACGGAGATGGAAGTTCAAATGATGAAGGTGATGTACCATATGGTCCTATGGATCGTTGGTTACGTGGTCCATTAGGTTCAAAACTAAACTCTTCTAGTGGACAGAACAATACTGATAATGATCAGTCTATGGAGAATGTTGATCTTGATTCGGATGGAATGCAAAAAAAATCTAAAGATAATCCTAATGATGAAGATACACCTCCAGGATCAGACAATGACGATGATGATGACAATAATAATAATGATAATAAGGAAAATTTACAGAATAATATTGACTCAAATACAGTAAGTTTCTTCGTTCTTCATGTAATTAAAAAAGACTCTCTTAACTGTCTTTTTCATTGTCATTTGAATGAACTCTCAATCTCTACAACAGGTCTTTCATGTTCCAGGGTATAAACCACACGTATAACTTAAGAGTTGATTAAGTTGACCAAGATTCGAACCTTAGTACCACTGGAGGTTAAGTACGAAATAAATTTGTTTGACAATGAGATTCGATATCTTGTGGTAACCTATCAGAGAGATATTAAAATAAGGTCGGCTTTATATATATTCATCGTTTACCTTTTTGTGTAATAAAGCGCCTTAACAACTTACATACTTAACAACCTGCCTACTATCGCCAATGATTTTCCTGATTGCAGTAGATTAGATAGTGCGACAAACAGAGGGCAATGAGGAGACAGGCATAAAATAGACTCACACAAAAAACTTGGAGGATCTGAACTTCACCGATGATATACGTCTGATTTCTCACAAACTGGAAGATATGCAAGCGAAAAGCAACAAGTTGGCAGAAGAAGAATCCGGAGAAGATAGGACACTACTTCAGGTGAACATAGAGAAAACAGAGGTGATGAAGATTCCTGGCCAAAGCCAACACCACCACCAACAGCAACAACAGACAACAATCAGCATAAATGGGAGGAACCTGGGAGAAACAACCTCCTTTACCTACCTACCTGGGAAGCATCGTTTCAACTACAGGCCTGCGGAACTGACGAGGATATCAAAACAGCGAGAATCGGAAAAGCAAGACAAGCTTTCACTACTCTCAAGTCTGTGTGGAGGTCAACAGCACTCAGCATGAAAATGAAAATAAGATCCAGATTTTCAACTCCAATGTGAAGTCAGTCAGTGCTACTCACTATACGGATCAGAGACTTGGCCAGTGAGTCATAAAGAGCATCTCAAACAAACTACACACCTTCATCAACAGTTGTCTTCGCTCAATAACGCTCAAGATCAGATGGTCGGCCAGAAAAGACCAGCAACAGAGAGATCTCTGGCAATGAGCGAACCAACTCAGCAGGAACCGATTGTGAATCGAATAGGCAGGAAGAAATGGAGATAGATTGATTGGCTGGCCATACTCTGAGAAAACGAACCATCAAGTGACATCACTAGACAAGCCATTGCTCGAGTGCAACCCGGCCGAAAGGGAAGCGGCGAGTTGGTCGTCAGTGCGAGGGTGGGTGACTTGGAGGAGGTCATGTGAAGAGGCGATGAAAACGTGTGGGCAGACTTGGAGCCAGGTGAAGACTCTAGCAGAGAACCGAAAGTAATGGAGACACACGGCTGAAGCCCTATGTTCCTCTAGGAATTAAAGGAAGCAATAATAAATAATAATAACAACCTCGGTTAACAATGCATTGTAGGGATTGTATGGCTCAACTTCTTTAACACTTGCTCGTTTCATTACATCATGAGCTAGCTCATATGCTTCTCCAATCACAAAATTTGAATCAATAAATCAATAGTTTATGTTATAATGGAGTGTCACTGATTTGTTAGTTGTTATCTAACTTGAGTACAATGAACCTCCAGTCACGACACTGTAGCCAACTTGGAATCACTTGGAAATACGCCGCCACACTGAGTAGACGCAGAGAAGTCAGATTTGACTTTGACGACAACTGTGTTAACCAAAGTTTTTTTTATTCCTTCACGTTCCCAGTGGAACATAAGGCTTCAAGCTAGAGTCTTGAAGTTTCTGTTGGAGTGTTTATTTTTACTGGATGGGGTTGCTAGCCTCATGCCCAACCTTTCCTCTTCACCAGCTCTTTTTCTGGCTTAGTGAGGTAAAGGAGTGCGTTGGCGGCCGGGGATTGAACCCCGGACCATATGCATGGTCGGCGAGCGTCCTAACCGCTATGCCACCGACGCATGTTAACCAAAGTACTGGATATATATCGTTTACACATCCACGGAAATTTAAGCCATCAACAGGCAATCAATATCTGATTGATAGCATCAATCCTCTAACACCTCTCCTTTTTCATAGATTTCCAGTTGGGGGACTACTGAAGATATCTGTGAGTCTAAGTACTCTCTGTCCGTGATAGCGGTATCATTATCTGACAGGTGATACAGATGTGTAAACCGTAAAATTATTGTAGTAGGGGAAGTAAACACATTTCCTGAATTTCACTACTTTTTGCTGCGTATCAACTATAAGGATAGGATTGGTAATATGCGGTTGCACAGTCTTTTGTCTACGTCTCTTACTATAATTTGTTATCGAAGTTCCTCTTTGAATGGCTGATATAAATATCTTAGTGATTCCTTGTGCAATCATTTTCATGCAACCCTGAGATAACAAATGTGTAGATGGTTATGATTCATACAGCTGTGGAGATACAACTATTTATGCAGTAAATAGCATATATACCAGTGTTTTCAATTCTTTAATTCTTTGTTATTCTCTTCCCTTTTTTATGACCCGACATTGTATTCTGGGATTCTGTCGGCCTGGCTAGATGTCAGTTGTTAAATAATGCTGATTACGTCGTGGTTGTGGTTGTTTCTCATCTATATTTGATTTTAGCCTGTACAACAACGAAAATGTTACTCAATAACCTCTTGCATTACTCTATGGTTGTCAGTCAAACGTACGTTTTTTCTCTAGTGTAATGATGCTACCTAGCCGTCTGAATCTCGGTAAGGTGGAGACTGGAGTTCGAACCCGTGGCGTTAAGTCAAGCAACTAGAGCAGTGAGCCACTCATTTTCACTCACCAATATAGCTTACATAAATACAAATTGCAACATGATTCGACATTTCATTCACATCCGTACACACTCATTTGAATATGTGTATGCGTCATTGTATTGTTGTGCATAAGGAAGATACACTTGAGAGTTGTCATACGTAATTTTTCGCCTCGCCTTCATTAAACTATCGCTGACTTCACTTGGAATTTAGTTCGGAATATGTCAGAGAGATTGAGGCTAAAATATCGATAGCCAGTTGTAAAAAAGTTCAGTCCGTTGAGAGTCAACTTCTAGTGAGAGTAGCAGATGAAATGGTTGGATGTAAAAATCTGATGTTTCCAAACCCCAGGTTATCAGTGAACATTGTTAAAAGATCTCAAAAATGGTGTTCAACTTATCCCTTTCTGGTTGATAAATATTTAGCAGCGAATACCTTCTCCGTGTTTTAATTAATGATATATAACCATTTATATATATTCTCACTTTACAGGTTTTATCCCTTGGAAGAAAAGCACTGATGAAAACTCAAACAAAAATGCAAACTCAAATAATTGTTAAAAATAAAATATCAGCTAATCGTGGTGAGTTATTTATTCCATTTCTTGTGTATTTACCAATATTTCTACCTTTTAATTGAGAAGTAGATGAAGTTTAGGCTCTTATTGTTGGAGACATCAGCTACGTATTTGAATAATAGTCTGCCTGTTTTCGACATAGAACTTTGCACATATGTGCAGCAGTTCAAGCCGCCACACTCCCTCCTTGTAGCACACAAATCAAGAGAAGAAAGTAGAAGAAATGCATAATATAGACAGTAAACAGAGGTGTGAGACAAAGGAATAGTAATAACGAAGAACAAAACAGTTTCATTGGAAATCATAAGTCACAAGGAGTAGATGCATCCGCGCCAACCATTGACAACGATTTTGAGCCATGTCACCAATTGTTTCCAACCATTGGTTTTTACCATCCATCCCGAGGACCCCAACCAGTCAGGAAGCCAGTCTACACCTTCCTACGTGACTGGCTTAGACTAACTGTTGTAGATTTCATTGACTGGTGAAGCCATGTTTTGGTTTGACCACCGCTGGCTCTTTAACAACCTGACCCTATATCACCTAACATTGCCCATTGTCGAGGAAGGTGATGGCCAGACTAGGCATACGTAACACATGTCCTAACCATCTCAGTCGATGTAACTTCACAGTCTCGTCGATTGATTTCCCCTCCCTACCTAGCACTTGACGCCTAACCTCCATATTGCTCACCTTATTATACCACTTCACACGGAGGATAGAACGCAGACACCTATGATCGAAGATAGCTAATCTTTTCATGTCGTCCGCTCTCAATGGCCAGGTCTCACAGCCAGACATAAAGGAGAACGGAGCGGACTGATGAGCAGTACACACGCCCTTTGGTGAATAGCCAGTCGGATATCACGTCTACGCCAGAGACGGTGTAAACTGGAATATGCGAAACTAGCCCTCTGTATCGTATCTGTGCTGAGATTTCGTCAGAGATCAACCCGTTGGCACTGGCTGATGGTACTTCCCAAGTAAGTGAAGCGGTCAACGTGCTCTACCACTTCACTTCCTATTTCTAATCTAGGAGTCGGTGTAGTCCAATCCTGTAACATCATCTTGCATTTGACAGCAGGAGCGAATCGCATGCCAAACATTCGTATATTGCCGGGTGTTCAGAAGACTCTGGTTTATTTTATCAGCGTCCTCGCCTAGAAGGACTATATTGTCTACATATTCTAAGTCAACGAGATTATTCCCTGGTAGCAAGTCAATCCCTGAGTCACTGAAGTGAGTTAGGTTTAAGCCCATTAGTAGGTGTATGGTAAAGTTGAATAGAAATGGCTCTTCATATAGGAGCCATAATTAACTATACAGTTAACAAATTTCCAATCAATCTTTATAGCTTCTTCTGCATATTTTTATTATTTTTTTCTTCTCTTCCTCTGTTTGCCTTTTAAAGGAAAAACTACAAAATCATGTCATGTTGTTAAAAACGCATCAATATCCAACTTTTTAAAGCCTAAACTGACAACTAGTGAGTCGACTACAACAAAGACAACTACTATTACTTCCATTAAGAATGATAAACATATCAACAAGGATGATGTTGTTGATGCAGGTGATGGTGATGATGATGATGAATATGATGATGATAAAACCAAGGATAATAATAGTAATAATAATACCAATACTTGTAAATCTGTTGATTTTATTAAGCCCATATTGGATACTGATAATAACACTCGTGATGTTAAACTTCCAGTAGTCAGGGTAAGTTATTTCTTTTCTTGTCTGTTTGTGCTTTCACCTTGCTAACATTTTTATTCTGATGAACGGAAATTATCAAATGCTTGAGCAAGATAGTACTTCAGGTGAACGTAGAGAAAACAGAGGTAATGAAGATTCCTGGACAACAACAAACCAACCAGCTCAGAGAACACTATTAATTGCAAATCATCCACCTGAGCTACAAATCTTCTCTATTATTTCAATATTTCTCATTGTCAAAAACATTTACACATTGATTTGCCTAACCTCCCCACTTATATACAATTTTAATTAAATTTTACTTATATGCTATTTTTGTTTCTACTTCTTCTCCTTCTTTTAGCGTGGCTCTTTGTTGAGTCGTCCTACTGGAAGTTTTCTTCCGGGTTTCAAATCTGAATTACCTAAAAAGGCTTCAAGTTTCACTGAAGATTTTGATACTGACTCACCAACAAATAGTAATACTACTACTAATAATAACAGTAACAATAATCAGAATAATCGTCGTGGTAATCATGCACACTTATTAGGTTTACGCAATAAAGTTGGTCTGTCGTGTTTCAGTGTTGTTACACCAAATGTAAAATCAGAGAAAAGTGATCCATCATTTGATAATAATGTTCATAGTGGAAGCAATCAATCAGCTGTTCCAGGATCTTCTAAGAGCACTACTATGAAGGTAAGTCAGCATTGTGTGGTGTTTTTATCTTCATATATATACTGTAGTTTCAACGGGACGTAGTTAGTTCACACGAAGGGTGACGAGCATACGTTGTACCGATGAGAAGGCAATGGGAGATTTGGACTTCGCGGATGATTTACATTTATTATTATTATTATTCCCTTGGATTCCTAGTGGAACATAAGGCTTGAACTGCACGTCTCCACTTGCTTCTGTCTTCTGCTGTACTTTCCACCTGCATCCATGTTAGTCCATACTGTTTCAACTCCTCTTCACACGATCTCCTCCATGTCACCCTTGCACTGACCTCCCACTCGCCGCCACTTCCCTTTCGGGTTCCACTCGACCATTGGCTTGACGCGCGATGTCACCCAGCGAGTGGCCTCCTCAGCCAGTGAGTGTCCAATCCATCTCCACTTTCTCCTGCATACTTGTTGTTGAGCGATTGGTTCTTGTTTTGTTTCTTCCCATAGTTTGTTTCTTGTTGGTGATTCTCTCCGGCCGCCTGATCTTCAGTATAGAGCCAGCGAAGACAGTTAGTTGTTGATAAAAGTCTGCAACCTGTTGGAAATATTCTAAACCAGTACCCACTAGATCTTTCTATTTGTCAAACGGAAACAAATGTCTCTAAATGATATAGCGTAGATGCGTTGTAAACTTCTTAACATTTGGTTTACTAATCTGCTTTATATGTCGTAATATTTCTTATAGAATTTCTCCGATTCCTGATTTTACATTGTGTTTCCTCCCCCCACCTCACCCTCTTATTACCTTTCACTTTACTATTATAATATGGTATATAGTAATTTGAGCCGTTACACAACACTATATCCTGTCGAATAGCGATTTCTCTTGTCATCTGTCTTCAATTAAGTTTCAAGCACTGCGTTTATATCTGTGCCAATAAAGTGGTTGATGAGGCCTAGAGAAGACGAAACTCACTCTTTGCCCACCTATATTAATTATTGCATTGTTTTTCATTTCTTCCGTATCTTCAATTTCAGCATAAACGTTCAATGGACATGATTAAACCGCATTCAGCTTTGTTAAGTCCTCCAAGTTTAAAACGTCATCGATCGTCCAGTGTATTTACAGCACTTCTGTGAATAAACAAATAAAAATTGTTTGGATATTTTATTTTACCTCTTTAGTTCACTTTAACGTTTACGTGTCTTTCGGTGAATTTCTTCTCTTTTTGTATACCAAAATCCACAGAGAAGCAGATATAGACAATATGTGTGTGTGTGTGTGTGTGTGTATGATAACAGATAGATCAACTTCTTTTCTAAAGAATATACAATTTTTTGTGTACGATATTCATTCCTTTGTTTTTCAGTGTACATTGTAATAAGTTGATAACTAACTGTGTGTGATAATAAAGTGCAAATGTCTTGTATATTAATTTATAGAGTCTTGTTATTTCGGTGGATGGTGACTAGTACTGGAGTTGAGGGTGTTCGCTTTGCTCTGTTCTTGGGACTCGTCAGCTAGAGATGCACTTTCATTCCTGCTGAGTCTCGAACCTAGCTAGCATCCATCCTTTAAAGTGCCAAAGCGTTATGCACTTGGACCATAACAGCCACCACCCCCCTGTGCGACATGTATCATAATTATGATTTGGGCAACAGTAAAGAATAGACACCACGGCCAAATGGCCTTGAACCAGCCAATCAGGTTGCTCAGCATTCCTGATTCAGAGTTAAGGGGCTTTGTGATTAGGGTCAGAGTGAAACTTTCAACAAAGATTATGTGAAAAGCATCCATTTGGAATACTGAGCGATCTGATTGGTCGGTTCAGGGTCACCACTTGGTTATGGTGTCTGTTCTTTACTATTACCTATGCTTTTTGTTATAGTATAATTTTTTACTTCCCGTTGATGATTGGTGGTTATATTGAACCAAAATATTCGGTCTCTGTTAACATGTTGGCAACTTTTTAGTGCGAATACTGGGCGCGATATCTGAGGATCAGCATGATGGATGTTACAAAAGCCAAATGTGTAGTGAAGGCTTTGTCCGGACGAAAGTCAGATCCCGTTGTTTTGCTTATAAATTCCAAGATGCGAGCAACAGGCGCATCACTGGATCGTCGTATGACGTGGACACGTAGCCTAGCGCTATGTTCACTGTCAGGGTGGAATAAGAGCGCATATGTTGGGACCTCCCTGAAGATATTGAACTATGTTGATGGATTATCGCTGTTTAACAATGGTACACAGCAAGTTTGGCCGATATTGGGTAGACTGGTGAAACCGTTTCTCAGTGATATATTCCTTATCGGAGTGTATGGTGGTTTTCATAAACCGTCCGACTTCAACAAGTTTTAATGCCAGCGGTTACTGACATGGAGCATTTATATGCACATGGTCTGCATATCAATGATAGGCACATAGGCTTCCGTCTTAACAATGTTATCTGCGATAAGCCTGCAAGATCTGGCGTCACATTTACAACGGATCACAGCAGTAGGTGAATATTATTTGGGACCCGGGATGTATGGGTTAAGGCGAGGGCAATTTTCCGTTCAAATCTGGTCAAAGTGGGATAAGTGGGCTATTTTAGAAGATGACAAGGCTAAAGTGGGCAAAGTGCTCGTTGAAACAGTGGGTAAACTGGAAAAAATGGGACAATAAAATTTTTCGGGATATGGGCAAACGGGAAAAATGTGGCCAATATGGGCAAAGTGGGTTAATTATGTAGCGTTTTAACCCACTTTTGCTGATTAAAATTGCACGCTTTGCCCACATCGCACAGGTGCATTCTCTGACGGGGATTACTGTATGAATGGCATGTAAACTTTTCAGAAATATTTGTTTCGACAAATACATTCATAATATCACAAATTTCACGTCATTCATGCGTATATCCTCTGTTTAAGCTTCATGAACGTCTGTGAGTAAGTTTTTATTTTTTTATTTTATTTTGGTTACAGCTTGATGCCACACCGTATTTTCAGCACAAGTATGGCATTTTCAGCATGGGTATCGGTAGCCCAAATTTTGCAGGCCGACCATAGATATCGAGTGTGCGTCGGCAGGGGCTCGAACCTCGGACCATGTGCATGGTCGGCGGGAGTCCTAACCACTGTGCCACCGACGCACAGAAGTAACGATCTTATGCGTAAGCTGGAAAATAAAAACAGTGAAAAATGTGTTACAGAACATTTACTATCAAATAAGTGCTACGAAAAGAGGTGCCTACTAGATTTTACGTAAAATCTTGTGAGTATGAAATTTTCATAAACCTCATATTCAAATCAATTCCTTACCATTCAGGAAAATATGTTCCATTCATCTAAATTATTATCACATTTTACTAATGGCTTCAGTGAAGAATAGACACCAAATTTAGACGACCTTGAAACAGCCAATAGACATTTTCAACGTGGATTATTACCACCAACCATTTGTCATGCTGAGCTATCTGATTAGTCAAATCGAGGCCATTTGACTTTGGTGTCTATTGTTTACTCTTTCCACCGTAAATACCACTTAAAAATTATTTTAACATTCTTGATGTACAAAAACAATTTCCATTGAGTTAAACCAATCCTAAAAACAGGGAAAATCGTGCTAAAAAGGGGATAAACATGAGATAGTCCATTGAGAGAATAAGGAGACAAACGTCGGAAATGTGACAATTGTCCCCTATTTCCCAGACTCCACACATTGTCCCTTATATTCACATACTGTCGCCCATTTACTACGTAATGATTTCAATTAAACCACCAGAAGTCCCCAATTTACTCGTAAAATTTTCCGTTAGTCAACAGAATGTCGCGATTATACGCGCATATTTTCCACTTAATCAGCAGGATATCCAACTATAAAACGAATCATTTTTCCATTTTTCTCCTTATATCTGAATGCAGCTTTACATGTGCTCCCCGCCATCAAGTAAATCCATTGAACTATACTGAAAAGGAAAAAAATTAGTTAGTAAGGTAGTAATCAACGGTGACACTAATACAGACATTTGACATAATAATAATGATATATTAAACGTGTTTATTTAGCCATAAAATTTACTCAATTATTGAGTACAAATCAAATTATTCTTTTACATATAAATACTCACACTGGAAGACCTTCAGTTTGAGTATTTTTACAGCATTCATTCAATTAAATTGTCACTTACAGCACAGATCCTCTGGTCACTCTTCTTATTGTCAACAGCAACCTGTGAAAAATAAAAACAGAATTTCCTTGATTGACATTCATACAATGAAACGGTTTGTAGTATAGTAACTTTAATTTAACAAAAACTGTTTACTTACACTTGGCCGGCTCCCCCTTTTTTCTACATGATCACGTACATCGTGGAAGTATGCCTTAGTAGTGTCTTTCAAAATTTTCATTACTTCGTCCTCGGGCATCGTAGCGGAAGCGAACTTGCTGATAATGACGGCTGAGGGGAATATATAAATAAATACGGTCCCATTGTTGTGCTGCTATATTTTGACTAAACTAACGTACACGTATATCTTAGTACTTCTTCTCGTTTATATTTGTGTCCTAACGTTGTGCTTACTCAACACACACAACGTTAATCAGAAGACACTTGAGAAGGTGTAAGAATGTGTATTCTCGCCGTAATCAAAATTCAAAACTTGAGCGAGTACAATTGTATCAATTGTTAACACGCAAGATTTAGAGTAATAAACAAATCAAAGTACAATTACACAATGAAAGTATACTGCGATGATGAGTAATAAAACGGGTCACTACACCATTTCATGGACATCTTCCACTAGGTGTCTGCTACAGACAATGAATATTATAAACTAAGTGCTCCCTGTCATAAATCACTTCAAACTCATTGGGGAAGTTCACTAACTCATCTCTGCAACCTTCCAAGTAATTGCGATGAAACGTTTTGTGAGACAGGAGGTAAACTGCTAAACTAAGTCTCTGGAAGTTGTAGTATATTCCGGGTGGCATAGTGAGTGTCCTTAAGTAACACGAACCTAGGTAGAGGAGGAAGATGCGACATTCAGTGGCCTTCCACCGAATGACTTCGGTGAGCCCCCTACATTTTCTCGGGAAGTCCCGGGGTGTCATTCTAGCACAAGTTAATACCTTCCCGTCTATGTTTTCAAGCATGGACCGGATTATGTGCATCTCCTTTTCTTTAGCTAAGTCTTGCCAGAGACTTATAAGCTTCCTCGCTACCCCTAAATATACTAGGTGCATTGGGTCAACAGAGAAGCACTCATCCATATCAAGGTTTAATTCCTCAAAAACACACTGTCCACGGTGGTGACTTGACTGCATCCTTTGATGGAAGCTGTCATCAGTCGGAAATGGAAAAATTCCATTTTCGAATGTCATCCTGCCGTCAAGTTTTCTTCCTGAAACCGCGCATTTGTCACAACCTGCGCTACTATAAATTTCACGTCCGCTCTAGCAGGTGCATCACAGATGACGCCTGTCAAACGAACGTGGAAGTGCCTGTTCAGTCTGGTAATGTGTATGTATGCCTTGACTTAATATATCCTTTAGCTCAGATATTAAGTCATTGCATAACTCTCTATAACTGCTCGGTTTGCTAGGACCACCGTATATGCCTATCAGGAATACACTACTGAGGAGTAGTGCTGTGTTTCTACCTACCAAGGACCATAGCTGCTGGTTAGAAGACTTACAGATGGACAATCCGTCGATATTCAACTGCAGATCAATCTTGTTGTAGGGACTTTGAACCACAGACATCTCCATGTAGTGCCCCAATCCTACAAATATGGGGAAAATAGTGTTAAGAAAGGAGACAAAAATGGGACATTCCGTTGAGAGAATAAGCGGACACAATTCAGGAATGCGACAGTTGTCCCCATCTTCCCAGACGCCGCTGATCTCCTCTATTCTGACAGATTGTGCCCCTTACCCTCCGTCATGATTTCCACTTAATCACCAGAATGTCCCCATTTTACACGCATCCTCTTTCCCTTTTTCTCTCTACATCAAACAACTCACAATGCCAATAAATTTAGGTTATCGATATAAATATATTTAATTTGTGCATTGGTTAAACGACTAAAAGTTAACAACAGTTCGGAAAATGAATTCTTTAGGATTAATGAACATTCAGATTTACAAATGATACACAC